TTAATTCCTCGGATCTATTATATTCTATTACATACTATATTCTTTTGTATCTTAGATAGGTAAGGCGTGCTTATAAGGAAGTCATGTAAACATGGGATTTTTAATTCCTCGGATCTATTATATTCTATTACATACTATATTCTTTTGTATCTTAGATAGGTAAGGCGTGCTGATAAGGAAGTCATGTAAACATGGGATTTTTAATTCCTCGGATCTATTATATTCTATTACATACTATATTCTTTTGTATCTTAGATAGGTAAGGCGTGCTTATAAGGAAGTCATGTAAACATGGGATTTTTAATTCCTCGGATCTATTATATTCTATTACATACTATATTCTTTTGTATCTTAGATAGGTAAGGCGTGCTGATAAGGAAGTCATGTAAACATGGGATTTTTAATTCCTCGGATCTATTATATTCTATTACATACTATATTCTTTTGTATCTTAGATAGGTAAGGCGTGCTTATAAGGAAGTCATGTAAACATGGGATTTTTTAATTCCTCGGATCTATTATATTCTATTACATACTATATTCTTTTGTATCTTAGATAGGTAAGGCGTGCTGATAAGGAAGTCATGTAAACATGGGATTTTTAATTCCTCGGATCTATTATATTCTATTACATACTATATTCTTTTGTATCTTAGATAGGTAAGGCGTGCTGATAAGGAAGTCATGTAAACATGGGATTTTTAATTCCTCGGATCTATTATATTCTATTACATACTATATTCTTTTGTATCTTAGATAGGTAAGGCGTGCTGATAAGGAAGTCATGTAAACATGGGATTTTTAATTCCTCGGATCTATTATATTCTATTACATACTATATTCTTTTGTATCTTAGATAGGTAAGGCGTGCTTATAAGGAAGTCATGTAAACATGGGATTTTTAATTCCTCGGATCTATTATATTCTATTACATACTATATTCTTTTGTATCTTAGATAGGTAAGGCGTGCTTATAAGGAAGTCATGTAAACATGGGATTTTTAATTCCTCGGATCTATTATATTCTATTACATACTATATTCTTTTGTATCTTAGATAGGTAAGGCGTGCTTATAAGGAAGTCATGTAAACATGGGATTTTTAATTCCTCGGATCTATTATATTCTATTACATACTATATTCTTTTGTATCTTAGATAGGTAAGGCGTGCTTATAAGGAAGTCATGTAAACATGGGATTTTTAATTCCTCGGATCTATTATATTCTATTACATACTATATTCTTTTGTATCTTAGATAGGTAAGGCGTGCTTATAAGGAAGTCATGTAAACATGGGATTTTTAATTCCTCGGATCTATTATATTCTATTACATACTATATTCTTTTGTATCTTAGATAGGTAAGGCGTGCTTATAAGGAAGTCATGTAAACATGGGATTTTTAATTCCTCGGATCTATTATATTCTATTACATACTATATTCTTTTGTATCTTAGATAGGTAAGGCGTGCTTATAAGGAAGTCATGTAAACATGGGATTTTTAATTCCTCGGATCTATTATATTCTATTACATACTATATTCTTTTGTATCTTAGATAGGTAAGGCGTGCTTATAAGGAAGTCATGTAAACATGGGATTTTTAATTCCTCGGATCTATTATATTCTATTACATACTATATTCTTTTGTATCTTAGATAGGTAAGGCGTGCTTATAAGGAAGTCATGTAAACATGGGATTTTTAATTCCTCGGATCTATTATATTCTATTACATACTATATTCTTTTGTATCTTAGATAGGTAAGGCGTGCTTATAAGGAAGTCATGTAAACATGGGATTTTTAATTCCTCGGATCTATTATATTCTATTACATACTATATTCTTTTGTATCTTAGATAGGTAAGGCGTGCTTATAAGGAAGTCATGTAAACATGGGATTTTTAATTCCTCGGATCTATTATATTCTATTACATACTATATTCTTTTGTATCTTAGATAGGTAAGGCGTGCTTATAAGGAAGTCATGTAAACATGGGATTTTTAATTCCTCGGATCTATTATATTCTATTACATACTATATTCTTTTGTATCTTAGATAGGTAAGGCGTGCTTATAAGGAAGTCATGTAAACATGGGATTTTTAATTCCTCGGATCTATTATATTCTATTACATACTATATTCTTTTGTATCTTAGATAGGTAAGGCGTGCTTATAAGGAAGTCATGTAAACATGGGATTTTTAATTCCTCGGATCTATTATATTCTATTACATACTATATTCTTTTGTATCTTAGATAGGTAAGGCGTGCTTATAAGGAAGTCATGTAAACATGGGATTTTTAATTCCTCGGATCTATTATATTCTATTACATACTATATTCTTTTGTATCTTAGATAGGTAAGGCGTGCTTATAAGGAAGTCATGTAAACATGGGATTTTTAATTCCTCGGATCTATTATATTCTATTACATACTATATTCTTTTGTATCTTAGATAGGTAAGGCGTGCTTATAAGGAAGTCATGTAAACATGGGATTTTTAATTCCTCGGATCTATTATATTCTATTACATACTATATTCTTTTGTATCTTAGATAGGTAAGGCGTGCTTATAAGGAAGTCATGTAAACATGGGATTTTTAATTCCTCGGATCTATTATATTCTATTACATACTATATTCTTTTGTATCTTAGATAGGTAAGGCGTGCTTATAAGGAAGTCATGTAAACATGGGATTTTTAATTCCTCGGATCTATTATATTCTATTACATACTATATTCTTTTGTATCTTAGATAGGTAAGGCGTGCTTATAAGGAAGTCATGTAAACATGGGATTTTTAATTCCTCGGATCTATTATATTCTATTACATACTATATTCTTTTGTATCTTAGATAGGTAAGGCGTGCTTATAAGGAAGTCATGTAAACATGGGATTTTTAATTCCTCGGATCTATTATATTCTATTACATACTATATTCTTTTGTATCTTAGATAGGTAAGGCGTGCTTATAAGGAAGTCATGTAAACATGGGATTTTTAATTCCTCGGATCTATTATATTCTATTACATACTATATTCTTTTGTATCTTAGATAGGTAAGGCGTGCTTATAAGGAAGTCATGTAAACATGGGATTTTTAATTCCTCGGATCTATTATATTCTATTACATACTATATTCTTTTGTATCTTAGATAGGTAAGGCGTGCTTATAAGGAAGTCATGTAAACATGGGATTTTTAATTCCTCGGATCTATTATATTCTATTACATACTATATTCTTTTGTATCTTAGATAGGTAAGGCGTGCTTATAAGGAAGTCATGTAAACATGGGATTTTTAATTCCTCGGATCTATTATATTCTATTACATACTATATTCTTTTGTATCTTAGATAGGTAAGGCGTGCTTATAAGGAAGTCATGTAAACATGGGATTTTTAATTCCTCGGATCTATTATATTCTATTACATACTATATTCTTTTGTATCTTAGATAGGTAAGGCGTGCTTATAAGGAAGTCATGTAAACATGGGATTTTTAATTCCTCGGATCTATTATATTCTATTACATACTATATTCTTTTGTATCTTAGATAGGTAAGGCGTGCTTATAAGGAAGTCATGTAAACATGGGATTTTTAATTCCTCGGATCTATTATATTCTATTACATACTATATTCTTTTGTATCTTAGATAGGTAAGGCGTGCTTATAAGGAAGTCATGTAAACATGGGATTTTTAATTCCTCGGATCTATTATATTCTATTACATACTATATTCTTTTGTATCTTAGATAGGTAAGGCGTGCTTATAAGGAAGTCATGTAAACATGGGATTTTTAATTCCTCGGATCTATTATATTCTATTACATACTATATTCTTTTGTATCTTAGATAGGTAAGGCGTGCTTATAAGGAAGTCATGTAAACATGGGATTTTTAATTCCTCGGATCTATTATATTCTATTACATACTATATTCTTTTGTATCTTAGATAGGTAAGGCGTGCTTATAAGGAAGTCATGTAAACATGGGATTTTTAATTCCTCGGATCTATTATATTCTATTACATACTATATTCTTTTGTATCTTAGATAGGTAAGGCGTGCTTATAAGGAAGTCATGTAAACATGGGATTTTTAATTCCTCGGATCTATTATATTCTATTACATACTATATTCTTTTGTATCTTAGATAGGTAAGGCGTGCTTATAAGGAAGTCATGTAAACATGGGATTTTTAATTCCTCGGATCTATTATATTCTATTACATACTATATTCTTTTGTATCTTAGATAGGTAAGGCGTGCTTATAAGGAAGTCATGTAAACATGGGATTTTTAATTCCTCGGATCTATTATATTCTATTACATACTATATTCTTTTGTATCTTAGATAGGTAAGGCGTGCTTATAAGGAAGTCATGTAAACATGGGATTTTTAATTCCTCGGATCTATTATATTCTATTACATACTATATTCTTTAGTACTTATAGAAGAAGGTATTGTATGAAAGGGTACTGTAGGGAATAATATATAACTTCCTTATAAAGGAAACTTTCGTATATATCCCTATTTCCTTTGGTTGGATATAGGGAAATAGGAAAATTTCCCTATTTCCTTATAAGCCAGTTTTACTGCATGTACTAGGTAATTCTTTAACGACGCTAACGTTTTTCAGTCTTTTTTGTACACTTTTGCCGATATGTTTAGTAAAATTTTTGCTTAACACCGGTATATGAATAATTTCTCTGATTTTCATAATATGCTTCATATATAAATAAGTAAAACAATTAACAAAACGAAAAACATTCTTTCTTATGATTATTAAACACAATTTTAACCTCTGCATTGACAATGTAAATAGTACGTTACAAATATAGATAATTTTAAAGAAAAATCTGCATAAAACGCAGCTTCCGACAAATATTTTTGTATCTAAAAGTATCCACGACTAAGAAACATACATTTATTTACCTTGTTATAAATAGTTGTTATCATCTTACTAATAGGTGTTTACATAAATCTCCATTTCAAAGGATCCAGGCAATTACCTCCTGAGAAAACACTGAAATTAGGACGTACATGTTATCCACTCTAAAATAAGGATCATCGCCGACTCTTGCCACTTAAAATCTACACAACCATGGGGATAGTTACCCTCATTACATTTGTTTCTATTTCGATGTTTGCACATGCGCAGGAAGTTCCCATTCCTCCGCGCACCCTGGGGTATGTATACGCCTATGGAACAAGAACAAACCTCACTGCTGTGACGATCGACGCCTTTTTTGACCCGTTGTGTCCTGACAGCAAACAGGCTTTTCCTACGCTGCTACAGGTGGCTAATCACTACGGACCGGATGTTCTTACGCTCCGTCTTCATATGTTCCCATTGCCCTATCACAGGAACTCATTTCTCGTATCAATGGTAATATTTTCTTTTATATTTCTTTTTGTTTCCATCAACTTTTGTAATTTTCAAAGTTTTAAAACCACTATCATCATTTACAAAGGGAGACATTAGAGTAAACGGTATCATAAGTAGTTTCAGAAGGAAGACATTTACAGTTAAACCTCGTTATCTCGAACTCAATGGGATCAAGAAACAACTTCGAGATATCCGAGGATTCGAGATATCCAGGATAAAATACTTTGAGAATAAGGGTTTGAGACTTCAAAGTCACTTCGCAATAACAATGGTATTCGAGATATCGGTGTTCGAGATATCAACGTTCAACTGTATTTCAACATGTAAATAAGAAAGAAAACACCAAAAGAATTACTTTCAAAGCAAAATACTTTTATTACAATTGGCATCCAATTTAACATTCTTATATCGATTCTTAGCTTTCTGATTGAGTGAGATCTGAAATTATAGAGAAAAAAAAAGGTTAATGCTTATTTCACCTGCATGTGACCTTCCAGGCGAATACTAGATTTTTTTTTTTACATTGGACTAAAACTAAAATCAATTGAAAACTTCTTAATTGATAAAATTTATGAAATGAAATTTTATTTCACCTGCACCCAACATTCACTAAGGCGAACATAACATTAAGGTACAGTGTACTCAGTATTGGAGCCTCAGCTTTCCTTTTACCATATTTCAGTTCAATTATACTTAATTCAAAGTGTTAAAAATTACTAGGGAACAGAGGTAATCAACCAGATGTCAACTTCTACCAATGGTGTGTATGACTGGGCAAAGCGTGTGTATGACAACATCTACTCACTCTCAAACGCGGCAACACACACGCGATCAGAGGCGGATGTTACCAAGTAAGTATCTCAATGAACGATTAATACCGGACCAAAGATATTTCTGCTCGCTAAAATGATGTTTTTCTGTGATTTGTATAAAATATTTTAGCCTAAGACAAGGATTAAAAGTAAAAACAAATTATTTATGTATATCCTATGGGGCACATTTTGGTAAAATCTTTGTTAAGTTGCATACTTTTACTTAGAATAGATACATGTACTACACCTTAATATAAGGGTTATCAATTACAGAGCTCTCTTTCGTATTAGAGGACCATTCCATGTTCTTTATGTATGCTGGTCTTATCTTCTCCACTCCAGTAAAAAATATATACTAATTTTGCTCCTTAACTTATCACAGCAGGGGATCTTTTTTTGTTTTCTTTTCCATTCCTTCTATATGTTTCACTACTCCATTTCTTTAGGAGGTAGGGGGGGGGGGAGTCTCTATATAAAGTAGAACTAACACACCTCACACATTAGTTACTGGTTTTTCTCCAACTTTCGTTCCCGAGCTTTTTTTTATTGCATGTCAAATTGACACCCGTGTTTGGGTGTCTATTGAGAATTAAAAAGTTATGGAACGCGATTTAGATTTTAAAAAACAGTAGCTATATATAACTTGTATATTTCTACATGTATCATATGCATGCATATCAGCATAAAGCATACCTTACTAAATCATAGTAAATGGCTACAATGTCATGATTGTTTGATTCTAGCATGCTTGGGGATATAGCCGCCCAGATGGGTCTACAGAAAGCAACGTTTCTTCAGAAGATAGCTGATCCATGGGTAGACATGCACGTCCGTATGGACTGGAAATACGCCTGCACGCGTACGTACCGTGGAAAAAAAATATTCTTTACAACTAATTATCACTGACTATCTTTTGATAAAAACTGTGATATCCAATTTTAGGTGGAGTGTCGGGCACACCCCTGTATGCCATCAATAACGTCGTGAAGCTCATTGACAAAGCTTGGTCCTTGCATGATTGGATGAAAATCATAGATCCGCTCGTCCATAATTCTGTATGTATTATCATTGATCCGCTCCTTTGTATGTATCACTATTGATCCGCTCCTTTCTAATTCTGTATGTAGTATCATCTTTATCCGCTCCTTTGTAACTCTGAACGTTTCATCACTGATAAGTTCCTTTGTATTTCCGTATGCATCTGTATTCAAGATCCGCTCCTTTGTAACTCTACATATGTATCTTCATTGATCCGCTCCTCCATAATTCTGTATGTATTATCTGGCTGTGTTTATACTTATTTTAATTTTGTTTAAAATTAAAAAAACTTTAGGCCATCTTTAAAAAAAACATGTTTGCTCGCCCTCTCCCGACTGAGGATAAAAAAATTGGGTATAGGTAGGAACAACTTTTTGTTATTTTAAAACACCAGCAAATGTAATATTCTTAATTAATAATAATATTAATGATAAAAAAATGTTTCCTGGAAGTCTGGATCAGACCGTTTTTAGTCAGTCGGTGGGGAGAGGTCAAACAAACAATATTTTAAAGATGGCCTTAAATGGAAAATTATTTTCAAGCTCGCCAATAGTTGTTAATCTTTTGAAATCTTCTTAAATGTGTATTCATTTGTCTTGTGTGTGTAAATTGTTTTACTTGAATAATATGATGTATCTTTTGATTATCTTTTCAGTATATTTTCCATGTTCCGGTGTGAAAAAACATCCTCTAAAGTGATTCCACAAAATGAACAAAGGACTCAGACATGTGATGTGGAATTCTTTATTCCATTGATTATGTAATAAAAACAGCATAAATGTTAAAAATGTGTTGTTGCTTTAAAATGTACTGAATAAAATTCACATGGTTTGTTTTCCAAATATTCGACCATTCAGTGGATGAGACATTACCAGAAAGAAAAAAAAATGTTTTATAAGTAACTATTTCCTTAGATTTTTTAAACATTCACATTTGCTTTGAAGCTCATAATGTAAAATAAATGATGAGATTAATTTTTTCTCAGAAAATTATTATATTTTCAACAGTGAAATACAGTAAAACAAAATAATCCATTGAATAACATTGATATTTTCACAGACCTGTTACTCATTTTTATTGTGAAAATAAGATATTGTTATTCTTTCAAGGTGAAAATAAAAAAAAAAGAATTCGCCGCAAATTCTCCACCACGTTCAGAAACTGTACTGAAGAAAACAACGAAAGTAATACATCGTGACACTGATTAAAACTGTCAAAATCTCTTAATATTGTCGTACAACACTAAGCTCTGACGTTCATATGCGCAGCATAAACCACTGCGTACGTAATTATAAGCAGTAGCACTTGAAAATATATTTTATGTAATTGATGCAAGATATCAAAACAAAAAGAGAAAGAAATACCATTCCTATGATAAATCTCAAATATGATATCCAACTTAACGAAGCATAGAATATCTCTAGACAAATATTTAAGAGAGGTTGTTCTGTTCTCTATTAATGATACTGAAGGGTATAATAGTTTTTCCCACTGTCTGTCTGTTTCTGCAGGCCCGTAGCAACGGTTTCAAAAGTGGGGGGGGGGACTTCCCAAAAAGATCTGACAAGCGAAAAAAACCCTAAATTGACCAAAAAATGAGGGGGCCAATTTCCCAAAGTAATGTGACAAGCAATAAAACAAAAACAAAAACAAAAAAAAAAAAAAAAAAAAAAAAACGTAATTAAGTGCCAGTGCTCGACCTTACTGAAAAAGGCTGCTCAAAACAGAATGCGATGGAGGACTGTTGCCGAGGCCCTATGTTCCACCAGGAACCAAAAGGAACCATGATGCTCGACCTTACTGCAATAAAAAAAAGTAGGGTGAGAGGCCATGCAACCAGCATATAAAGGAAAATTTACTATAGCAAAATACTATACTTAGAAAAAGTTGGGGCGTTCTACGGGCCTGCATTCAGTCCCTAAGTCACTCTGTCCCAATAGGTTTTCCGGACTTTAAAACCTGCAGTTTCATATATTGAGGTGAATTATGGTATATGCGAGTCTATCTTGATTAGATTTCAAGAGTACGCAGATGGAAAACTCTCTCTCTCTCTCTCTCTCTCTCTCTCTCTTTCTTCATGAAAATTTTGAACACCACAGAGACGCATCTTTAATTCGCACTGTGTCGGCTGTTAAACACAATCTATAGATAGTGGTGAAAATGCCGCTTATTCATCTGTTATTAGTCCCCTACCGGTGAAACCGGAGGGGACTTTAGGTTTCCTCTGAGTCTGTCCGTCCGTCTGTCTAGCTGTCCGTCTAGAGGTCCCTCTGTCGGTCTGTCCCACTTGGTTTTTCGCACTTTTTTTCTAAACGCTTGCAGATATTGAGCTAGTTTTTGGTATGTGAGTGATTCTTAATGAGTTACAGATCAAATTTGCATTTCGTTCCGCCTCAATGATTTTTGACGGAATTAAGACCTTTTCAATTTTTCAGAGTTTTCCGCAATTTTTTTCTAGATAAACGCTTGCAGATATTGAACTGATTTTTGGTATGTGACTTTACCTTGATGAGTTATAGATCAAGTTTGCATTTCGTACCGCTTCACTGATTTTTGACGGATTTATGGCATTTTCAATTTTTTACGGGAACCAGATTACACTTGTCGGTAGGGGACTAGTATTGCTAATGAATACTCTCAGAATGCTTGTTGCATATGGATACTGCAATGCTCCTCCATTGTATTTGATATACCTTACGTATCTGTGTATTAATGTGTATGATTTTTTTTTCTCCGGATCATTGCAATACACTCTCTCCGGAAAGAGATTGCATAATTGATCAATAAATGGGTAAAACTCTGTGTATTTTTTTTTAAGTCAAAGGATACGTGGAATAGTTGGAAAGATAAATGTAAATGTCAAATTTTTTGCTTTTTTTTTTTTTTTTTTTTTTTTGAAAATCAACAGATAAAAAATAATCAATTAATTAATTAATTATCTATTAATTATTCATTTATTTATTTTCATATTTATTTATTTATTTAATTAATTAATTAAAATAAATCAATATCTTGTTTAATAAAAAGTAATTAATTAATGAAATAATTATCTATAAATTAATTTTTATTATTTTTTTCATTTATTTAATTAATTAATTAATTCAATTAATCAATCAATCAATATCTTGTTTAATTCTCAATTGATCTTACTAGAATTATTCCTCCTATATATGATATCTGCTGAACAGCATGAATAAATGTTATAAAGTATTTTTAATTTCGCAAAAATGCCTGCAATATTCGTTTGTTAAAGATAATATTTCTTTCGTCTATATATATCAAATTTAATTTTATGCATACATTGTATTTGTTCATATATAAAAATAAATATTTAGCAGGTTAGTTTTATGAACTTAAGAAAGATTTATACCAAAATAAAAATTCTCTGTTGTAAGATATATTTTTATTATTACCTAATTTTCATTTTGCTTTGACTTGCTCATTTTTTTCATTTGGGTCACTGCTTATTTACCTGTTATTAGACAAACATTTGCATCCCGAACCCGATCAAAATTCTTCTCAAAAACATGGCTGAAAGCAGAAAAGATGTAAACAACAATAGGTAATCGTTAATACTTGATACTTTGCGAGTGTTCCTAGGGAAAATTTTATTATTCACAAAAGATGAATGAATATAGGAACATTCTCACGGGGGATGCGGCCGTTGCATGGAGGAGTCTGATCTCAAGATTGAGATTTGATTGGACGACGGACAACAAGATTTTCGAACACCTGTTGGAGGTCCATGAATGGTTCTGCGGGGACAAATGTCCCCTTTTGAGGTACTTTTTTTAAATAGACCAGATTAAAGTCATTTATTGCAATAAAGCTACTTTTGAAATGTTATTTATATACTTTCAATGAAACATGCAATGGAGAGAGGAATGGAAACAAAAATGAAAATTTTCCCCTACTTTCTGTTCAATACAAAATTCCGAATCCATCCTTTAGCCATAGGAGTCGGCAGTTTTATCTATAAAACAACGTAAACAACAACCAGTGGGCTTCGCGAGCGTAGCAAAGTGAACCATGATGTAGTAGAGTCCTTCTGAATTTAAATACATGTAAATTCCATTTTTTTTAAAATTTATATTCGCTATATTGTGTACAAAACTTAAATTTCGAGTTAGGGACACACTGAATGTTCATAATTCTACAAATCTAAACTAGCGCTCGCAAAGCTCACTGATCATTGTTTACATTGCTCTATGGATAAAACTGCTGACTCCTGTGTATACATGTATGTGTATAAATGACAATCATTATTTCTGTCTCTGGTGTGTGGTACATATATTGTGTATTGGTCAGTCAGGATCGAAAGCCAGTGGCTAGATTAATAGATACAAAGTTTTTTAGTGACGGGATACAGGATGATATCTGGTTAGTAAATTTCATACCTGGTTTGGATTAGGCAGACCAGGTTTGAAATTTACTAAAATATAGATATTGTTCCATACCCTGTCATACCAAAACTATATAACAGATTTATCCCACATAAGACATAACTATATGTTCAGATATCTCTGGTTTTTAATGTTTTTCTCTGCTACACATTTCACAACTCCCTTAGAGTGCCATTATGACATCACTTCGTGCTTATTTTGTGTGTGTTTAGTGCACGGGCACTGCAAGTTAATGTAAATATTGAGTATGTGCATGTACTTTAACTTCCAGTGGCCGTGGTTTAGTGTAATAGTAATGTAGTTTTAAAGAATTTTATGAAAGGAAAATAATTATAAAGGTTCCATAATATGTGTTTGATACTGATGTCAATAAACTTTTTTAAATGTTACAGACACTAGGCACTCATGGTTATTGACAATTTAAAGCATTAAAGCAGTGTTTGAAACTCACCATAAAATTAACTAGACATGTAGGGCTGACTGCTAGTGAAAGATGTCAGCCCTACCGAAAATACTCTAGCCTGAGAAAATAACTGTCTTTTATAAATTTGCTTTTAGTGATAATATGAATGGGTCAAGACCACCATAACTCCAATTCCAAATCCATAGACTAGCGATTTCTACCCCTTTACCTATCACACTTTGCTATCGATACCATAAGTTCATCTGAGAAAGATTTATCATGTAAATGAATTTTTGATTTAAAGGAAATTTCAACATGTCCAGCCGGGCGTCAATACATGCAAATCTGTTCGCCCATGGCAAAATTTGTGCATCTTGGGTGGTTGGGCACACAGTTATTTCAAACACTGATTAAAGAACTGGAGTTGTTCCAATTGTTAAAAAGAATGATAAACTGTATTGACCATGTATTGAATCATAAGTGACAATATATGAATATTACATTCCCTTCACATGGGACTTCAACAAATTGTAAGCAAGATTTCATTGAAAAATCATCAAATTATAAACATGATATTAAATGAAAGAAGAAGAAAAATATTTTGAGCAGGGCTGATTTTTGTGGGTATGGCAATCAAACAATATATTGATATATACCTTACAGTTGCATGCAGAAACAATACAATTGTGATCTTGATTTTTTTACTGCAGGTCAGATGTCGATGATGAAGGCGATCCAGGTAAGAAACTTTTTTCATCCTTCTAAAATTTTAATGGCGACTGAATAATGTAGTGAAATATAACTTGTCTAATTTGGACACCACTGGTTCCATAGAAATTGGTCAGAATAGACAATATTCTAGATTAAGGTTATACGCAATGTACATTACCTGTTGGTAATTTTTCAAGATATTCTTTATTTAAAATGAAGATACCCTCAGATGTTCTTAGACAAAAAAAATCAGAATATATTACCACAGGCTTTGAAAAGATAACATATAATGAAAATTTGGTCTTTTTCAATGCAAAATATACAAAAATGCACATACATACTTTTTTTGCTGGTATTTCTTCAAGTTTTATCTTTTGAAACGAAGTTCAGCAATAGATGATAAATGCTAAAGTTTTCAACATATGAAATCAACCTTTTTTCTTTAATTTTTGTGGAAAATCCAATTTGCATATTAGTTGTTTATACCTTACCCCTCTTTAAAGAAAGAAAATGCAATACCCCATACATACAACAAAAACATTAAAAGTTGTTGTACATTTATATTTTCATATTCATTGAACAATTCTGAAGCGAGTGTGACTTAATAATCTTTGAATTCCGTCACTCTTTTTTTTTTTTAACAGAGATCTTACCCCGTTTTCTTTGTCTCTCTGATAAGCTAATAAAAAATGCCGAAAATGAAATCCTGTTTTTGCAATTTTGTTCACTTTAAAATTTGATAAAATCTTGTCATCAGTAAGAATTTGTAATGATTGTATGTTTCTCTGACATCTATATTTTTCATCATGTAAATAATCAAATTATCAACAAATTCTGTAGAAAAACTATGCTTCAACATAATATGGCTAAAATTTGCTTAAGATGATAAAATTTTGTAAGGTGAAAGCATCAGACTTAGCATCATGAACAGTCAAACACAGATCCTTTAGCAAGTTCACTTGTTTATTTGTGGATAATGAATTATTTGTTTTCAATTCTCGCGGCCTGGATAAAGTACTCTAAAAAGAGGTAATGTGTGTACAAACCCACTTAATGTTCTGAGACACTAAATTAAATACCAATGTAACCAAATACACAAACTAAAACACTAGAATCAAACTTCGCGAATATGAATATTATTGGAACTCTTTATCATGTTTATTATTAGGAGATAGAAAAAAATAAAGTAAAAACCACGTTACATCTGTCCTTAAATAAAATTCTGCTCATTTGAATTTACTGACAGGGACTTAAAGTTTACATTGTATTGGGCAGGATTTCAGAATAAACAGCATTCGTATTATACAGGTTTTACTGTAGCAACATTATTTACAGTAATAAGATTCCAATCTCCCTTTGCAGAGTTGTCGTTCGTTTCTCTCTCAACACCTCTGCGATGGGCTCACGTTAAGATTTTTGACATAACGTAAAGAACATGACATTCCAAGGATTATTTCAAATTAAACTAATAGTTCTAGATATACGTAGTAAATATCTACATTAAAAGAGAAACTTAACAAACACACTATTTCTCATGCTTTTCACTGATATACGCGAGCCAACGACAGAGGTGAATGTATGAGCTTATGGTAGAGAGTGATAAGGTTCATGTATTTTGCAAAGTTTGAGAAACTGTCATTCTGAATGACAAGAAATATCAGAAAACTCCACACCAAAAATAAAAAAAATAAAAAAAAAAAAAACTCTTCAAAATAATAAAGATACAATTTAAAGTTCATTCAAAATATTTATGTTGAAGTTTCATTCCTTTTTTAGATTTTCCCATGTCAACAGAAGATGGGGAGACAGCCATGTCATTAGATTTAGAAGGTGTGTATTTGTTTAATAGATATAAATTTACATGTATTATAGAATGGTATGACTCATATATATGTTTGAATATCTGTTGAGAAGTTTGGATTCAAACTGAGTTTAATTCCTTTTCATCTATGTAGAAGTTGTGCTTCATCAGTGATTTGGTTTGTTTAATGTCATAGACCAGTGTCGTTGATGGTGTTTAGCCAGCTTATTTGGAGGGTTCATGTGTGGTCTAAATGATAAAAAATATTTAGAATTTCAGTCTAGGCACAAAGTAAAATATAACCTTGTGGTGTGTAATTGCAAAATGGATAAGGTTGTCAAAAAAGGAAAAGTAAACCATTCTTTTCAAGCTGTAAAATAACAATGGATGCAGAGGTAACTGTATTATGTAGACATGTGGCAAAGTTTTTGATATATTCCTATTGATGAAGTGTAAATGTCTGACACAAAATTTTATAAATTTAATAGTGAAATATTGATAACATGCACATATATTCCTCAAGACATGTTTCTATTTAGTGGAAGATGGAGCTGAGTCAATTGATGATGACAGCAGTGGAGAAAGTGAATCTGAAACAGATAGTGGAGAAGAGGTTAGTGGAACTAGAACAGTAACTCTGATACAGAAAGTGGAGAGGTGAGTGTAACAAGAACAATAACTCTGATACAGAAAGTGGAGAGGTGAGTGTAACAAGAACAGTAACTCTGGTACAGAAAGTGGAGAGGTGAGTGTAACAAGAACAGTAAATCTGATACAGAAAGTGGAGAGGTGAGTGTAACAAGAACAGTAACTCTGATACAGAAAGTGGAGAGGTGAGTGTGACAAGAACAGTAACTCTGGTACAGAAAGTGGAGAGATGAGTGTAACAAGAACAGTTACTCTGATACAGAAAGTGGAGAGGTGAGAGTACAAGAACAGTAACTCTAATACAGAAAGTGGAGAGGTGAGTGTAACAAGAACAGTAACTCTGATACAGAAAGTGAGTGTAACAAGAACAGTAACTCTGATACAGAATATGGAGAGGTGAGTGTAACAAGAACAGTAACTATGATACAGAAAGTGGAGAGGTGAGTATAAAAACAGTAACTCATACAGAAAGTGGAGAGATGGGTGTAACAAGAACAGTAACTCTGATACAGAAAGTGAAGAGGTGAGTATAAAAACAGTAACTCTGATACAGAAAGTGAAGAGATGGGTGTAACAAGAACAGTAACTCTGATACAGAAAGTGAGTGTAACAAGAACAGTAACAAGAACAGTAACTCTGATACAGAAAGTGAGTGTAACAAGAACAGTAACTCTGATACAGAAAGTGGAGAGGTGAGTGTAACAAGAACAGTAACTCTAATACAGAAAGTGGAGAGGTGAGTGTAACAAGAACAGTAACTCTGATACAGAAAGTGGAGAGATGAGTGTAACAAGAACAGTAACTCTGATACAGAAAAGTGGAGAGGTGAGTGTAACAAGAACAGTAACTCTGATACAGAAAGTGGAGAGATGAGTGTAACAAGAACAGTAACTCTGATACAGAAAAGTGGAGAGGTGAGTGTAACAAGAACAGTAACTCTGATACAGAAAAGTGGAGAGGTGAGTGTAACAAGAACAGTAACTCTGATACAGAAAGTGGAGAGGTGAGTGTAACAAGAACAGTAACTCTGATACAGAAAGTGGAGAGGTGAGTGTAACAAGAACAGTAACTCTGATACAGAAAGTGGAGAGGTGAGTGTAACAAGAACAGTAACTCTGATGCAGAAAGTGGAGAGGTGGGTTTAACTAGAACAGTAACTCTGATACAGGAAGTGGAGAGATGAGTGTAACAAGAACAGTAACTCTGATACAGAAAGTGAGTGTAACAAGAACAGTAACACATACAGAAAGTGGAGAGGTGAGTGTAACAAGAACAGTAATGCTGATACAGAAAGTGGAGAGGTTAGTGTGACAAGAACAGTAACTCTGATACAGAAAGTGGAGAGATGGGTGTAACAAGAACAGTAACTCTGATACAGAAAGATGAAAGGTGATTGACTTATATGACAAGATCAGTAATTGTGATACAGAAAGTGGAGAGGGGACTGGGGAGTTAACCAAAAGAGTATTTCTAATCAAAGGTAGTTGCAGATTATAAAAATGTTTTTATATTTTATGCTGATTTTATTTTACTTCAGGATGTTCACATTAAGGAGGAAGAAGAAATCATCAGTGAGATCCCATGTAAAATAGTGTCCGCTGAACCAAGTATAGAGACCATACTCCCCAAGTCAGTGGAAGATTACCCTGTGTCAAAGGGAGATAAATTTGTACCATTACCAGAAACCATTAATTCTGCTTCAGAGGGAGGTAAATATGTATCTTCTTTAGAAAACAACTCAATATCTACAAACAAGACAATTAAACAACGAAACATTCAGACCAGTTGTCTGAATGTTTACAGACGAACTTCTAGAAAGACAGTTAATACAAAAACATGTGGTGAGAATGTGAAACAAGCACAAGGTGAAAGTGAAACAGATGTGAATGAAGCACAGAAAGGGAAAGGTGACAGAAATGAGGCGATGCTAGAAAAGAAACTTCGATTTAAACTACCACAAGGGGAAAATGAATCATTTTTAAATGTTTATGAATTACAAAGAGAAAGCAATAATAGAACTGAAGCACCTCCAGATACAGAAAAGAAGCTGCTGTTCAAGGTTTTGAGAATATCTACAGGGATCAAAAATGATTTGTCATCTTCAAAAGGATCCTCTACAGTTAATTTAAAGTACCCTAAATTATCCTTATCAGACAGCATAACTTCCTCAAAATCATCCTCATTGGATAATCTGACATCTGCAGCATCATCTTCTTCAGACAATATGATCTCAACGTCATCCACACAGAGTACCAAACCAACTTTTCCTGAAAAATCAGAGTCGTCCAAACCAGAGTCAACAAAACCAAAGTGCCCAAAGCCATCTTTTTCAAACAAACTGAAGTGTTCCAAACCATTTTCCTCAAATAAATTAAAGTCTTCAACATCCTCCCTGCATAGAAAAAGATCCAATTTTTTTAATACAGAGGGAGTTAAAGCTCTCAAGAGTCATCTTTCAGGTCGAGCATTATCACATAAAAAATTATCAAAAGTAACTACTGGAACATGTAGATTACAAGACACAAATTTTAATTCTGTACAAAAACAAGTGCCCCAACTTCTTACAACTAAGGGAACAAATGACGCAACAAAGTCAAATACAAGTACTGTACAAAAAAGTAATGCTGAATCAGAGACACAGAAAATGGAGAATGAAATGGAATTGAAGTCAGATGTCAGTGGCAATAAGCCCCCAATTAATCTAATGTTAGACATAAACCCAGATACTGGAATCCCGTGTTTGGTGAGATACCCCACAACAACACCAGTCATTGATAATGTGAATCTGGAATCATCTAACGTGAAATCAGAACAAACGGAGTCATCAGATTCAGTGAGTCCAAGTGTACAAGGAATGTCTTCATTAATAAATCTAAGACTTACCATAGACCCAGTTAGTGGAAAACCAATGTTAGTGAAGTGTCCAGATGAACCATCCACCAGTGATTGTGATACTAGAAAACAGACACGTACAAGGTCTGATCAAGAGGAATCGAGGCAGCTGCCAAATTTCAGTTTACTGACACCTGTTGATGACCTAGATCCCAAATTAAAGAAGATCAAACTAATAAGTGAGGTACAAGATGTAAGTAAAACAATACCGAACTTCCAAAAACTGAGGCCAAAGCCTATGGATCAAAAAACAAAGGCAAAATTAAAACAAAAGAAATTGAAGAAATTGCAAGGTTTAAGTCCAAAGACGTCAAGTGTCAGAAAAACTAAACAAATGCCTGTTGTTCCAAAGGCTAAGCAAACATCAAAACATGGACTAAAAGGAGAACCTCAAATTTTAAATTCTCAGAGGCCAGTTATTCAGCAATCATCTGTTACCCAAGAGTTTGAGCCGACATTGAAACAACATGAAAATTGTCATGAATTAGTAGGACAGCCACAAGTATTGAGGTCAACTATGAAAGAACTTAAGCAATCGCCAGTTGCCCAAGAATCTAAGCCCACATTTAAACATCTTGAAGTGATAGGGGATCCACAAATCTCAAAAACGCCAAGGCCCATTTCCCAGAAAACTAAGCAATCTCCTGTTGTTGAAGAGTCTAAGCCAACATCTAAACAAAATGAATTAATAGGGGAACCGCAGATATTAAGGAATTTTCTCGAGGAACCTATTCCAACATTAAACCTAACATTAATTATAAACCCAGCTAATGGTATGCCTGTGCTTGTACGCTCACCAGACTTAATGACATCCAATCCAAATGATAAACACCTAAAACTGACTCTAGACCCGGTATCAGGAGAGACAGTCTTAGTTCCTGAGTCTGAAGATGATCCAGGGGAAAGTGTTTCTTAGGACCTATTATTTCCCTCAATATGTGTGATGGGGATTCACAGATGTAATTTAAACAGGATTCGTGAATCATAGTCCTCAGTATCTTCCCCCTGAGTTCTAACTTTTTTGTTGTCTGAAAAAATGCACGGGCTATTTAGGAAATAAATTTCATTAACAGGGAGTCATTAATTGCAATTGCTGTGCTGGCTTGATCCATGGTGCTTGTTATTAAAGCATAGAGGTAACTTTGCCAGAACAATTGCAACATTTATAATATGCGTTAACTGGAGAAATTTCTCCAACCCATAGAAAACTATTACCATACCAATTATTTTAATTTTTCTAAATCTCTGTTAGCATAGTATATTTAAAGAACATTTAGACAGTTATGTGACCATTGACTTGTATTATTTTGATCTTGTTACATGGAGAGGGTTTATACTTACGTTTTCATTCTAAGCTTGTCCAGCATTTTTCAACATTTCAACACTTGTTATTTTTTTTTTTTTTTTTTTTTTTTTGTCAATTGCACTTTTTTGACGAAATGTTATTAAAATATTAGACGTTGAACGTTGCATCTTTAAAGCAAGTTTGCGTTCATTGTCATTTCATTTTGACTTGGGTACTTTAAGATGAAGAAATTACCAAACCTCTTAAGTTTGCGCCTCCCAGGACAATGGAGTGTTGCAAAAAAAGAAAGTAGGATGTAAATGCTTCTTTTCAACAGAGGGAAGACATTTCAAAAGGAGAAAAGCTGAAATTGTTTGTATCGAAGGGGAAGATTTATCACACGGAAAACACATTCAAAAACGTTTCAACCCTTCAAAAGTTATGACCAAGGTTAAAGCTTTCTAATAGTAGTTAAAATTTTAAGGTCAAAGAGAAAAGGTCAAAATTGTTGTTTTCCTTCCCACAGGAAAGGCCTGGTCACAAGAAATACACATGCGAAAGATCAAAGTCCTAGCTTTAACAATTCAAAAGTTATGGGCAAGGTTAAAGTTTTTCAAAAGTAGGTTAAACTCCACTGTCATTGTCAAAAGGTCAAAAATATGTGTATCCAAGGGAAGGTCCTATCACAAGAAATTTGAAAACGCATGCCATGTGTGAAAGCCCTAGTACCAACCTTGTAAAGTTGTGGCCAAAGTCAAAGTATGTAAAAAAAAAATTGGTTAAAATCCATGGTCAAGGTGAACTATTTTGGTAACCGAAAAAAAATCCTGTCGCAAAGAATACAATGCGAAATATGAAAGTCTTCGCTCCAACAAATCAAAGTAATGGGCAAGGTTGAAATTTACAAGAATAGACAGGTAACAACTAGCCATCGTGAGCTAATATTACTGAGCTTTTCTGATCGAAAAGTGTCCATTTGTGTGTCTTGTATGTAAACCTTTCACATTTCGACTTATTCCTCAGAACCAATCGGTCAATTTCAACTTATCAGAAAGCGTGGTGGATGAAGGGGAGTTTAAGTTTGATCACATGAAGGACCACGCCTCTTCCAAAGGGAGGTAACTAATGAATAATGAAAATTATCTCAAGAACAGCTGGGGACGAAAAATGTAACATGTGAAAAATATGTAAAATAAGGTTTGTTCAACTCACGACCCCTTGCGGTAGTGTGAGCCACAACGGAAGAAAAAATTAAGGAATAAGTAAGAAATACATAGGGAAATTTCTATAAAATCTTTTTCTCAAGAATGGCAAAGCCTCGATTAGTTATTTTAATACAGAAGCATCCTCTGGTAGTGTAGATTCGAGTTTGTTCAAATCATGACGCCCGGAAGTAGGTTAGGCCAAAACAGGAGATCAAACAAAATAAATCGGAAAATATAGGATAAATCTGTGAATATTTTTTTTTTTAAACTGCAAAGATATGATCAGTCATATATTAATACAGATTCAAGATTGTTGAAATTATGGACCTGGCGGTCTGGCAGGGCCACAAAAGGGGATCAAAGTTATACAGTGGATTATATATGAAGTGTCTCTAAAATCTTCTAAAAATGGCAAAGCCATGATTAGTCTTGTTAGTACAGAAGCATCCACAGGCAGTGTAGATTCAAGCTTGTTCAAATCATGACCGCCAGGAATAGGCTGGGGCCACAACAGGGGATCCAAATTCTGCATAGAAATATATAGGAAATATCTTTTAAAAATCTATTTCTGAGATATGTCTCAATCAAGCGCGTCCCGAATTCGTAGTTTCAATAATGTACAGGTAAAGGAAATTTCTAAACAAGTTTTTATTATATTTCGGCTTGAAATGAATGCTCTAGCAACATATAAGTCATGATATTATACTGAAAATTGTCTAAAATTTTAACTTCAAATCTGTGTCCAATCCCTTTTATTTCTCTACATGTATCTTTAGAGTAATTATATATATATATATATATATATATATATATATATATATATATATATATATATATATATATATATATATATATATATATATATATATATATATATCCACATGTATCTTTAGAGTATTTTTTTTCTGTAGTTCAAAGAATTGGATGGTTTCGGGGAAAAAAATCAATTTTCTTGAAGGTGGCAGGGGACAGTTTTTTTTTCAGTGAAGCGAGTGCAGATAAGTGTTTATAACCTTGAAATTCCCCCTTATTAACTGTTTTACGTTTTGTATGCTAATTCAATATTTTTATGGAATTTGCATAATGGGAAGATTGCAGCAAATTAATAGCTAGCTGAATTTAAATATAGGAATACAGTGTCATATAACCGATGGCATATTGTTGAACTTACGGCTGAAAGATTCGTCCCTGAGATATCAATTGATATTTTTCGTTAATTTTACTATGCTAGAGGAAAATTAAAGATGTTATCTCAGAAATTGACAGCGTGATTTTATGGATCTTATCTTCCCTTCCAAAATAAAATTAGTGTTTCAAAATCCCTAGTTTTTAAAATTGACCGAGTAAATTGTCCAATTCTCAGGGGTTTATAAAATTGCCATATTTTTACAATAAACAAGAAATCGATATTCTGTCCTTTTGATGTTCAACTAAAAATACTAAGAATAATTTAAGTTATCGCAATAATTCATGAAGTGCTGTTTTTTCCTCGAGATACATAAAAGTTTCAGAATCCATTTTTTAAAATCGACTTTGGTAGAATGAACTTTTGAACTTTAAGAAACAAATAAGAAGGACAGCTAAAAAAAAATGTGAGACAGAATTAGGATATACAGGAATTGTATCATACTTATATCAAAGATATATTGAGGACATACGGGAGAATATATCAAACTTTTATCAAGAAGATTATAAGGATTAATGGAGCGGTATCATACTTATATTAAGGATATATTTAGGATAAACAGGAACGGACTCATACTTTAATGAAGGATACTTTAAGGATATAAAGGAGAGATGCCATACTTATATGAAGGATATATTTAGGATAAACAAGAGCGAAATCATACTTATATTAAGGATATTTTAGGATATACAGAAGCAGTATCATATCTATATTAAGGATATATTTAGGATATATACAGAAAAGGTATCAAACCTATATGGAGGATATGCAAACAGCAGTATCTTACTAATATCAAAATCTTATAGAGGATATAAAAGATCGGTATTATGCTTATATTAGAGATATGTGTAGGACATAAAGGAGCGGTCTCAAACTTATATTAAGGATATATATAAGGATATACAAGAGCAATATCATTCTTACGTTAAGGAAATATTTAGGTTAAATAGAATCATATGCAATGTCATACTTACAAAAAGGATATTTTAAGGATATATAGGAACAGTATCATAGTTATATTAAGGATATATTTAGGATATAAATGAGCGGTATCATACTTATTTTAAGGATATACAGGAACGGTTTCATACTTATATTAAGGATGTTTTTAGGACTTTTATGAGCGCTATCAGACTTATATCAAGGGTAATATATTAAGGATGTACAGGAACGATGTCATAGTTATATTAAGGATATATTTAGGTTATACAGGAACGGATTCATACTTATATTTGGGATTAATTTAGGATATAAAGGAGCGGTTTCATATTACACTAAAGTTATATGAAAGATATACAGTAGCAATATCATACTTGTATTTATTATCTTTAGGATAACAAGGGCGATATAAAACTTATATAAATGAAATTTTTAAATGTACATGCGCATTTCATACTTCTTTAAGGATTGATTTAGGATTTAGGATGAGCGGTATCATATTTGATTAAGGATATATTTAGGATATTTAGGAGCGGTATCATACTTATATCAAGGACATAGTTCAGGATGTTCAGGAACGGTATCAAACTTGCATTAAGGATATATTTAGAATATACAAGACCGATATCATCATATATTAGGTTTGTTGGTAATACTGCAAATTATGCATAATTGGTGGGAAAAGTAAATTTTGGGTGGACATATTACAAATCAGTTTTGAAAGGCACGATATGTAATATGGAGATAATGAACAGTATTCAAGCTCAAAGTCCATTAAAACAATACAAATCGGGATCAGAGCAAACGCGGACCTCAAAAAGGTCAGAGGTGGATTCAGGTGCCATGGACGAGTGAGCATCCACTGCCGACCGGTCACACCCCCAGTGTGCTCCTTGTCATGATCAGGAAATTACAGAAAAATCCGTAGACAATTCAGTGTGTAAATAATGACCTAACAATTAGTATGTAAAACGTTAGTCAGTATATGACTTAATGATAGATTGTATTTGCTGACAAGGTCATTCTATCGACCACAGAACTTACGAAATGATGACTTTAAATGAGATCGTTGATATTCTAGTTTCATCAAGTAGTTTGTCAATATCTTGCCTCGTTTTAGAAATTTTTCTTACGGAGATCTTGTCCTTGCGTATCGAATCAATTGAGAGACGTAAACCCCGCATGCAGGTGATAAGGGTACATGTATATTGCTACCATAGTAAGGGAAGTTGACGATTGAAAAGTTAGTCATCACTTTTATCATAAATTTGTTATTATAACAATTGAAGTTTTTTTCTAGTAAAATTTTCAAATCTGAAACAATTGTGTCAGATTCTGTGGTATTGAAACCTTGAAATTGACCCTTATAAACTGTTGTTTTAATATGTAAGCGCTGAGAAAGCTAATTCAGTATTTTAATATAATTTGCATTAGGGTAGTTTACAGCAAATAGATAGCTAGCTGTTAGAATTTATATAGGAATACAATATCCTTCAATCAATAACAAGTTGTTGAACTTTATGAGAAAACGAGTTAAGGATTCGGTCATAAATATTTCACGAAATAACTTTCCGTCGAATTACTCAGTCAAAAAATATATAATTATGATATCTCAATAACTAAAATTAATTAATTTTCCCTTCCATGATAAAAATAAAGTTTAAATTCCCTATTTTTTAAAATTGACTGAGTAAATTGCTACAATTCTCAGTGGTTTAAAAATGCCAGTTTTTCTACATTAAACAAGGAATTAATATTCTGTCCTTTTAATGTTCAGCTAAAAATACTAAATGTAATTAAAGTTATCGCAATAATTCATGAAGTGCGGGGTTTTTTCCTCGAGATAATAAAAGTTTAGAATCAATTTTTTTAATCGACTTAATATCATTGGCAGAATTCTAGAAGGTTTATAAGAATGAACTTTTAGAAACGAGTACATGTTAAAAGGGAGACTAAAGAATCATTTTAATACAGATTTATGATATACAGGAGCTATATCATACTTATATTATAAATATATTAAGGATTTATAGGAGAAGCAACAAACTTATATTAAGGATATATAGGATTGGTATCTTACTTATTAAGGATATACTTTGGATATATATGAGCGATATATTACTTACATAAAGGACATATTTAGGATATATACGAAGGGTATCATACTTATGTAAATTTTGTTAGCAATACTGCAAATGATCCTGAATTGATAGAAAATTTTAATTTATGACTAATGCTAATTTCATACTTTGGATCTTAAGCACTCTCACTATGCTAGGAGGCAACATCCAACTGATTCTGTGCTCTGTGTTGACTTGGACAAAGGCTACCCTCTTCCAGACATACTATACTGCAGATACTGACTTAGATGACAAAGTATTTTATGATTCTCTTCTATCAGCACATGAGTCTGACTCTCTAACTTTATGTTCCACTATGTGTGGTGAAAACTGTAATTGTCTTGGCTACAACTCCCAGAGAAAGAGGTGTCGTCTTTATAAATCATGTGATTCTGTGAATGTAACAGATTATGAAGCGGGCTGGACGTATTACAGATCAGTGTTGAAAGGTACGAAACGTTTATAAAAAATCTAAATTGTATGCCTACGGAAGCCCAATTCAGAACTTATGAAAAATATTTCTTTTTGGCATTGTCAAATTTTATTCATTATAGCAACTTTTTTTGGAATTTGTGATAATGAATTGTTTCGTTATAATAAATTTGTGAATTCGTTATTATAACGAACAAAATTCTGCTCATGGCTTTAAAAAACATATACTGATACATGTATAATGTTTATGTAACACAATCTTAAGTCAAATATTTACAGTGACTTTGTTTCAACGTGTACAATTATAAATGTGAGAAAAAAAACTATTTATATTTCCAATCTACAGATCTATTTTATCATAGAACAAAATTCCTTCATCTTTACATACACTGTACATAGATAAAAAAATAAAGTTTAAGATAATTCATTATAAACTTAAGCTTATTAATTCTGTAGGAGAGGGTTGGCTGTTATACAGAACACATCATTACTTACTTATCAAGAATAGAAACACATGGCACAACGCAAAGGTAAGAATTATATGTCTGTTATATTATACGAGGGTTGTCCCAGAAAACGCGAACTTTTTGAATATTTCAAAAACTATTCGACCAAAATAAATAATTTTTTGCAACTTGTTGGGAGATAGAATTTTTGCTATTTTGACAGAATATTTTAATGTTATAATGTCATATGCATGTAAAAATATCATTTAAAGGGTGTCAAATATCGGTACTCGGTGCACGGCATTTTTTCTTTCTTTTTGAGTTTTAGAAATAGCATTGTAAGTGAAGTTTTCTTTATTACCAGGCTATACGGAAATATAATATGAAAAAAATACCTCCATAAAAACTCTACGATCTGGAGTACTCATGTGTAAAAATTCATTAATTTGGCGTCACAAGTGACAAAATATGACGTTAGATGCCAAAACACTTTTACTAAGATATTGTCAATCAAAGTTCTGAAAGTACTGAAAAGCGGTTAGCATGCTTTCATCACAGATTCTAAGATTTACAAAAAAAAATTGCATGAAATGATATTAAAGTACGAGAAGCAGACATTCCGAACTTTGGAACATTTTACTTAATGACAAAACCAATAATATCTCATTCGTACACCAAGACATCATTTTTTTTTTATTGATTGATGTCACAAATGCAAGTTTAAAAATATCAAAATGTGATTTCTTGAGTTTGAAGGACAGAAAGCGCAATTTCTAAAATTCACTTTCGGTGGCGATCGAAAGCGCTCAGGACGAAAAAAAGTAAATTGATTTAGATTTATCTGTCATGCTGTATGGTGTCTGAGATCAGGTAATTGTTAGGTTGCTATAGCACACAATTTAAAAAGAAAAAACTTTGATAATTCAGAATTTTTAAATTAATGAACTTGGAGTAGCTTCAGATCTTTAGCTCGCTGGTCTGAAAAAAAAGACAGACAAAGAGATCTTGTCAGTATTTTTTCGGACAGCTTCAGTTCTGTAGCTATAATTTGAAGAAAAGGTAAACTAGTCGGATCAAAACAAAACAACTACACTATAGATTTAAACTATACACAGGGCTCACGGCGAGTGTGACAGCTCAACTGCGGATGCTTACTTCTCCTAGGCTCCTGATACAACCTCTGGAATTTTCAGGAGTCCGTGTTTTAAGCCATCTTAACATATTTGTATTGTTTATATTGTTGATCTTTTGAGGTCGATCACTGTTCGTTATCTTAACCTTTTACATTTAAATGTTAAAGTTCAATATAGGGATTCTGTATTTTTGAGATACTGAATACTTCCGTTTTATATTATGTGCTACTACGGTACTATCCTCACTGGAAGAGGGATAAGTAAACTAGATGATCAAGTTTTAAGAAATGTACATTATTGACCATGCAAACAATTTAAATGTTCAAATGAGTAAATGGTACATGGATATATGACAATCATTTAAATAAAGCAAAAGTCTTGCACAATATATATAGGGACAGATACTGAGTAATTGGCACATACTTTTCAAGCAATAATCTTGATATCAAAGAAAGCGTGTGAAAAGTAAAGTTGTTGTTTAAGCCAACTATACTAGTGGTTCACCATAAGTATGTATTATTTCACGTGTATACTTAATTTTCATTGTTTGATGAACAATTTATTTGTCCTTCGCAAGAATTATCCAGTTAACAATGTCACTTACTTCAATATTCAAATTAATATGTCAGCAAAGCAATTTACATTGATATCTTTTATTAATAACAAGTATGTGAATTTCTATCAATGTGCGTACATCTGTATTTTCATTTTTATTGACAAAGACGCAAAATAAAAATCATAATTACCGGTAACAGTTTGAACAAATTTAGAAATATGTTTACAACTTACATATTTTTCCAAAAAAATTTAATAAGTTTTCAAATAATAATTAATTATTATTTTAAATCTTTGTTCATTGCCAAGATTCTTTTTTTACGACTCTTTCATTATCTTTTTAAAATTTTCTCTGCTAAATCTTGTATATTTTATAAAGGTTGATGAATTTGAGAAGAGGATCACGATGACGAATAATCTTTTTATATCTTTTTGTATTTTTTTTATTTTACTATTTTCGGTTTCCCGTAATATTTTTTTTTCTGAAAAATAAAAGAAAGTGATCGTTTATGATTGTTTGTAATAAAAAAAGAGTTCAGATTGTATCCCTGTGAGCTAAACTTTTAAAATCTTTTAATAAGAGAAGAAATAATTTTTCATTATGAAAGTAATTCCATTGTTTCTATTAAAACAGTCGTACAATTTACAGAAACTTAAAATGTATTTAATGATTTTAATAAAAGCATTTTGATAAAAGCTTTTTTTCATATATTACTTCACTTAATAAAAGGTATGTCTAAATACTTTGTAAATTCGTAAGAGAAAATCAAATTCGAGAGTCCCACCGATGTTTTGCAGTCGGTAATAACCTTCAACCCCTTTAGTCAGCAATGAACCCATCCACCCAGTGCCCCATCGTAGCATAATTAGGTCAAATAATTATGGCGGTCTGCAAATTGTTCATGAGGGGTGCTGTATAATTTATACAAAATCGTTCAATTCCCAAAAATAAACATTAGCTATAAATAACGGCTGCAGGAATTACTGACGAGTTTATACTATGCAGGTAACCCCTAAAATTCAAGCCGAGCGATTATCTAGGCTATTGGTAGCGATGGTAAACAGTTCATAGGTAGTGCTTAGACGAAGCTTCCGGTGTTGCATAGGTAGCGCTTTGACGAAGCTTCCGGTGTCAACAAAAGTTGCGTAAGACCTTTGGTTACATGACATAAAGCGATTAGCGTATACGCTAACCACTTAAAAATGCTGGCATTGGGCGATATAATGCGGAACATCAAATTATCAAGCAATGCTTTTAAGCAGGAATATGACTCCTATCCATACGGGAAAAGAAATATAAATCTCGGACACTGATTTATACCTAGTTCAAGAAGCTCGAGGAGGGCTTGACTGGTTCTTCGATGGAAGAAGCGTTTGGTAGACCAATAAACTGAAAAGTCAAAAGCTGGACGTCATTCGTGGCGACCGCCGTTTATAACTATGCGAGCAGTTAGGTAAACTTATGACCGGGGTTGGGAAATTGTCTTTTAGAAGAATTAATTCTGCGATCTTTCGGAAACGCTAATATCTGTGATGGATAACTTTGTAACTAAAAGAAAATTAAATGGAGTGTCGAATTTATGCTTCAAACGAATTTTATCAGACGCACGATTCCAAAATAAATTCACAAACGTCACGAGCTACGTTTTGACGTCGTCAGTGTTGCATCGTTAGCTATTTTGTGAGGTTCGTTTACCCGAGAGGAAAAAAATTATTTATAGAGATATTTTATTGAATTTTTTATGCATTAATCAAAAAATGCTGAATATGGTATTTGCCAATTTTTAACTTTATAGCATTAGTGAAACGAAAGATATTGAAAATGTTCGCGTTTTTCCGAGACTATTCTCGTACATAGAGCATCCTGACATGAACACACACGTGCCTCTTGATGCCATAAAACAATAGCATATATGGTTCATTTTGATTTGATAACTTGAAACATGCAGTAGCATGGTTTAACATACTACCACCCTTAAATAGCCCACAGCCCATGACTTTGCTAATACCTTCTCTCTAATAAATGCTCTCTCAGTTTGCGTATACACATACAGTAGATGACTTCATGGGACAAATGAAGGTCATTCACATTCATGAAATAAATTACTATAAAAATTAAAGCAATTTCTAGCCTATCCAATAAAATCCTTTGCAATCGTTCAAGACAGTCTTCCTTATCTGCCTTTACTGACAACTGGAATATTTTGAAGTCACAATGGAAAATTATTTAGACATTACTGTATACCAATTAATATTTACATTTCTAAATATGTTTCCTTAAGATTCTTTGCAAATTAGAAGACTGTTCATTTCCTCATGAACTGCCATGGATGAGCATGAATATCTCCATTGTAACGTCAGAGTACCTTACTTGACGTCAAAACTATAGTGCAAACTGTTTTGCTTTAAAAATGACAGTTGAATTGCGTAAATTGTGAAAGAAAAAATAATGTAAATATAAGAAATTAATTTAATTTTTGAAGATTCATGAGGTACATGAACTACAACGCTTCACGCCGGTTCATGTCCTTATGAATCTTCATGAGTTTACAACAAATTTTCTTTGTCCATTTAATTGTCGATCGAATAAAAGCTCATAAGACATAAATTATGAATGGTTTTGGTCATTGCTGTGACGTTTTACAGAACCAAGTTCAAGTTCAGTGTATTCACCAAACCAAAATATTAGTACATGGGATACATTAAACCATATATACATTTCAAAAACTGGTCAGGGGTACATAGAATATACATATACAGTACAAAACATGAGATTAAATGAAAATAAATAGAAAAAAATAATAATGAGAAAGAAAGTGGGAGATATGTCAAGGACACACAGCATACTAAACTTTTAGAATAAACATACCAGTACGTAATTTTTTCATGATTTTTTTTCGTTTTTGAGTAGTCATTCGTTCCGTAAAAATTTATAACATTTCGTCTGTGAGAATAATAATTACCAAGGTATTTTTTTCTTACATTAACTAATCCTTTACACTCTAAAACATAATGAAATTCATTAGCAATTTGAGCATAATTACAAAGTCTATAAATTCTTTCACAAAGTGGTATACCTTACCATCTTCCACTGTCTATTGTGGATGATGATTTGTTGTACGAAATTTAAAAAGTATATTTCTAAATTAAGGAGATAATTTACCATTATAATTTTCAAATCCAAAGTTTTGTTTGAAGATTCTTTAAATATGTCCTTTTGAGGAATTATTTACATTACTGAACCACTTTTGAATAAATTGATCTTGTAATATTTGTTTTAAAGTAGCGGTTATCCATTTATTATTAGTCCCCTACCGGTGAAACCGGAGGGGACTATAGGTTTCCTCTGAGTCTGTCCGTCCGTCTGTCCGTCCGTCTGTCTGTCTGTCTGTCCGTCTGTCTGTCTGTCTGTCCCTCTGTCTGTCTGTCAGTCTGTCCCACTTGGTTTTCCGCACTTTTCTCCTAAACGCTTGCAGATATTGAGCTGATTTTTGGTATGTGAGTGTATCTTGATGAGTTACAGAACAAGTTTGCATTTCGTTCCTCTTCACTGATTTTTGACGGAATTACGGCCTTTTCAATTTTTAGGGGTTTTCCGCAATTTTCTTCTAAACGCTTTCAGATATTGAGCTGATTTTTGGTATGTGGCTTTACCTTGATTAGTTATAGATCAAGTTTGCATTTCGTCCCGCTTCATTAATTTTTGACGGAATTATGGCATTTTCAATTCTTAACAGGAACCAGATTACACTTGCCGGTAGGGGACTAGTATTGCTAATGCAATACTCTCAGAATGCTTGTTTATACTGACACCCTGTTCATACCCCATTCATTTCATAACCCACACATTTTCTGTATGCAGTTTAACCATGGGCTTGTTAAATTTCCGTCACAATAAAGTTTAAACGATGCTTATAATTTTATTTTGCGTGTCTGAAAATAGATTTGCCAAATGAAATCATTATACAATATACCGAGATATACAGAGGAAAACGACTCTTTTCACCATTCATGTAGACCATGAACGCTGGCTTGGATCTTTTCAAATTAGATACACACTTTAAAAATTTCAGATATTTGAAGGTTCAATAACATCAAGATTTTCATCGCCTCATACTTCAGAGCCATTCAATAAAACTGGTACAATAACTTTATCAAAATGATCAAACTGATAATTTAAATTGTGTATATTTTCTTATAATATCATACATGGCGTTTTGTGCTTGTTCATCAAGATGATTTTTGTTTGCTTCACAAAAGGGACTTGTGCGTGCAAATACATTGCTTAAATATTTAAATTCTTGAACATTGTCTATTAGTAAATTGTCACAATACAATATTTTTAACATTAGACCTCTTGAAAATACAAGAATCTTTGTTTTTAACATTTACTTTAAATTTCCATTGTAAACAACATGCCCAAAATTTCGTGAAGAGCATGTTCTAGTTCATCGGCTGATTCAGTCATAATTACAGTTTTCATCCTCATAAAAAAGAACCAATAGTTTTAAAATACATTAGTAATTCGTTCTCAATGATGCTTGTAATACTTGGTATACCTACAACATTCAATAAAACGTTCAGTAAAAATTCCATAAGATCATTTATATACATCGAGAATTAAAAAAAGGGGAAAAAAGTTTTTCTTCCTGTCCTACTCCGACATTACAGTTAAAAAATTCTGTTGACACGCCATTCATTTTAACCGTAGACTTAAGTATATCCTATCCTCAGCCAGGAAGGATAAGTCTTAAATTTATTATTTTATTTAAAAAGTCTCAAAACGAAGCTTGAGATTGAGATCTTTTCGTGCAACAATTTTCATTTTATGCATCTTAATATGATTCAAGGTTCATTGAAGTCGTAGAAACGGTCTTTTTAAAAGTTGACATTTGTACCCCATAAAAGAAAAAAAATGAATTCATTTTTAGAGAAATCGAATTTCCTTTAGTCTAGCATAAGATATCACTGCTAAGTATCATGGTATGAAATAAGATGTGATATGTGATGTCTAGCAATGAAAGCACAAACTTTTTACACTATGTATTATATGACAATTGAAGTAAAAAGAAGAACTAAAATACTGTACAAGCATTAAAAAAATTCAATTTTCTCCAAATGCCTGGATACCTATAGTTTTCTATCCTAAATTATATTTGTTGATCGATTTTTCAATTAGAAAATGCATCCCTGGTGTTTTTCTTCGCATTTCCTGAAAATATATTTGAGATTTGTTAATTTTCCCTATATAATATGAATAACTATAAAGATGAACTTTGAAGAAATTCCATGGGTAAATTCACGTTCCTATGTGAAATCAGAGACATTTTTGTGAGCATTTTCAATTACTTAAAAGCTGATTTTCAGAACCTGAGGATCGGACTACCTTAACATCTTTGTTCATATTTTGAATTTATTAGGGGTTGATGGAAAAAAATAAATGAAAAATGTATTATAATCCATTGTTCTTTGTATAAGTTTTAAGTCCCCATGATTATTCTTCTTCATGAAATATATGGAGATATCGAACAGTATTCACGCTCAAAAGTCCATTAAACAATACAAATTTTGGAGCAGAGCAAACGGACCTCTAAAACATCAGAGGTGGGATCAGGTGCCATGGAGGAGTGAGCATCCCCTTCCGACCGGTCATAACCGCCATGTGCTCCTTGTCATGATCGGGGAATAACGGAAAAATCAGTCCACAATTCAGTGTGTAAATAATGGCCTAACAATTAGTATGAAAAACGTCAGTCAGCATTTGACTTAATGATAGATTGTATTTGCTGACAAAGTCATTGTATCGACCATAGAACTTAAGAAATGATGACTTTAAACGAGACTACTGATAATCTTGTTTCATCAACTTGTTTGTTAATAACCTACCTCGTTTTAGAAATTTGTCATACGTAGAGCATGCTCTTCCGAATCGAATCAATGAGAGATATAAACCCCGTATGCAGGTGATAAACTTAAGGTATATTGCTGCATAAGTAAGGGAAGTTGACGATTAAAAAGTTAGTCATCACGTTTATCATAAAGCTTTGTAGTTGGATTACCATTAACGCTCTTTCTAGTAAAATATCCAAATATGATACAGATGTGTCAGACTCTGTGGTATCTTTTATTTCAAGCTCACCGGGATATATCGTATCGACATAAGAAGTGAAATAACCATTGTTAATTGACAATACGTCGTCGATATATCTAAATGTTGAATTGAAGGCCACATCAAGTGTTTTCTTCTTTTCACGTTTAAGAATTTGAACAAATTCTGCTTCATATGAATACAAAAATAGGTCTGCTAATAACGGGGCGCAATTGGTACCCATGGGAAGCATACAGTTTTAGCATCTGTTGATTGTGAATTGCTTATTTCAAATTGAATTTAAAAAGGTTTTCATAGCTTTGAGACTGGTATACAGGAAAGGACAGATCACTCTAACTGCAGCACGTTTATCACTTGAATGTTTTTACAAAATACAAGTCGGTAGATTGAAACTTCATTCAAAATCTTTGTAAACTGTAATTATTATTTTCTTATTTAATTTTGTTTTAATGTAAATACAGACATTTTGAGAATAAAAAGTAACACCACTTCTTTATTCTGAAAATTTCCATGACATAATTTGCCATTGTCATTGTTCTACACACGATCACGATATTTACATGAATAACGCTTAGCATAACGAATGACTGGTTAAATATCGGCGAGCCTGAGTTGCTCGCGGATCTCGCAAATTTTTCTTGCACGCGTTTAAAAGTTGGTTAACAGTATATAAGTTTTCCGGATTTGCTTAGTATTTGTATTCAGTAAATGCTGTATTTTGTGTTGCAATGCTGTAATTTTTTCAGTTTGTATTGTCTTGTTACATTTATATTGATTTAAGGAATAACTGTCTCATTTTTTGGTTTCATGATGTGATCAATCGATTGGCTTGCGTGATAATTTGCATAAAGGCATTTATGCATAAAATTATCACGCAAGCCAATCGATTGATCATCTTCATAAAATCAAAAAATCTGACAGTTATTCCTTATATTTACATGCTCGTGATTCTGCATATTCACGCGCTACAAGCCCCGCTTCTATCTCTATTTGTCCCGCCCCGCACGTGATTTTTTTTTCACCACGCCTATCGATGAACCAGTAGATTTATGTAGAAATAATGTATTTTTACTATTTGAAATTTTATCTCGGACAAACACATTGGAAATGTAAATATATCTATTTATAATGAAGGCACAGAAGCTTTGACAGATTTCAATATGAAAATGTAGTGTCTTAATCAAAATGCAGGTAAAACTAATTTTGCATATTTTCATTCTCCTCCATTTTAATATATACATATGTATTTTTAACCAATGAGCCTAATTGCAATAAAAGACTCGTTTCAACATTTTCAGAAAGAGTGTGAAAAGCTAGGGGCCTACTTGGTTACCATAGAGACAGAGGAAGAAAATTCATGGCTAACAGAAATGTTTCTGCCAGCCTGGGATCCTGGTACAATTTTGCTTTCCGTAATTTCCCGATCATGACAAGGAGCACACGGCGGGTGTGACCGGTCAGCAGGGGATGCTCACTCCTTATGCCACCTGATCCCACCTCTGATGTTTTGGAGTCCTTGTTTTCTCTGCCCCCGATTTGTATTGTTTAAATGGACTTTAATTTTGTCTTGAATACTCTTCATTATCTCTATATTTCGTTTGTTTGTTTTTTCTTCGGGTTTTATTATTATTATTAGTGTGTGTGTGTGTGAGTGTGTGTGTGTGTGTGTGTGTGTGTGTGTGTGTGTGTGTTTGTTATGTGTATGCTGTATTTAAGTTGAATATTTTATGCAGGTGTAAAGACGAATAATGTTCGTCATAGAATAATGACCAGGGGTCATTTTTCAACGACAAAAAATAACCCCAAGCCGTAGAAAAAATTATTTTTTGTAGAAGAAGAGCCTAGGGGTAATTTCTTTATATGTGCGTCCTATAAAAAAAAAAATGACCCCTTTTCCAACAGAGTGATACAAAATTTATAACAGATGATTGATGCCAAGGTTTGAACCTCAATGTTCAATTCTTTCTTATGCCCTTTTTGACCAACACTGAACGAACGCGCAATTAAAATGCAATAAAACTGAATTACATTTACATGCATATTTCTATCTTTCAAGCCTATCGTGTTCTCAGCACATATTGAAAATCGCAAAATGGCTACTATTAGTCATAACCCTTAACGTAATTTCCCTTTATGACTGTCTTCCATTTGTTTCATATTTGGATATTTGACTGATTATAGACATTCATAGTTAAGTAACAGACAAGCGGGATGTTCTGACGTTTCAATGGTAAACATGTCTCCAGTATGTATTCAGCATGTATTCCGCATGCTTAGAGTATGATCAACTTTTTTATAAAAAGGTGAAGGAAGAAAAATGAATGAGATAAGGTTTCGGAAATAAATACGGAAAGTTATGCAATGTAATATTTATATATATTTTTTAATGACATAAAAGGTCGTGCAAATGAGATAAAATGTATCGCAAATGACATTATATCTCGTGCCAAGGACATACTGTGGATATATTTCCAAATGAAAAAGGGGGAATAACGAACAGTGATGACTTCAAAATATCCACAAACAATACAATTCTGTTAACAGGGCATACAAAAGGACCCCGAAAACTGCAGAGGTGGGATCAGGTGCCTAGAAAGAGTAAGCAAGGTAAATGGGACATTCCGTTGTCGAATTGATAATCATAGTATCATGGATGATAATCAGTAGGTCAGCAGTATCATGGATGATAATCAGTAGGTCAGTAGTATTATGGATGATAATTAGTAGGTCGGTGTTTATAAGGATGATAATTAGTAGGTCGGCGATTATATGGATAATAATTAGTAAGTCGGTGTTTATATGGATGATAATAAGTAGGTCGGTGATTATATGGATGATTATTTGTATGTTAGATGTTATGTGAATATATGGTATGTATGGTTATGTCAATAGTTATGTTAATTATAGTTGGTAGTTCAGTGGTTATATGGGTAATAATCGGTAGATCAGTAGTAAAATGCAAGATAATCAGTCTCCCGACTTTAATTATACGTGATTACCGTATCTAAATAATACAATCTTTCTTATAACAAATTAGGGTTTTTTTAGTTCGGCAATTGCATCTATTCATTATCCTACTGCTAGCAAGTTCATTTTTGTCAGTGCTCTATCATATTTTTAAGTTAATTACTTCTAAAATTGCTTTTACATATTTCAGTGGAATGCAGTCCATGGTGGGATTGTTGTTCACATTGGATTGGTGCAAACGATATTGCCCAGGAGGGGAGATTCGTCTGGACAGAAACCAACCGTGACGTCACTTCTTACTCCAACTGGCATCCAATGGAGCCTGATGACAGCGGGGGACAGGATTGTGTCCATATATGTCGTCAAGGGGTTTGGGGGGATACCCCGTGTGGCGAAGTGTATTCATACATTTGTGAAAAAGATTAAAAATATATATAACACGTTGTGTGTGAATAATCATAAATGAAAAAAAAGTTTCTTCAGATACAAAGTAAGAAAACATTTCTATAGATATATCCACTGAAATATCGTAAAATGAATTTTCTAAAAACAGTTTACAAATTTTGCTGTTGCATTTCATTTTAATATAAAGAATGCCCAGATGAAAGTAATACATCAGTACGAAGCACTGTTTACAAATTAAATGTATATAAGGAAAAGTCATTCTTTTTTCAAATGAACAATAGCTTGTTATAAACAAAATTCAAAAGCTTTGTCAACTTGCGGGAAAAAATTGTTATATCTTGTCGAAATATATTTGCACCTCAAGCAAAGTTATGGACAACCTATAGATTGCAAATAAAAGAGTGAAAATATGGACAACAATAACTGATGCATAAGATATGGGGAAAAAACCCATAAAAATAAGTGAGCAGAGCACAGATATGCATATCCAACAAAAACTGAAATGCGAGTAGTGATATGGAAAAACTAACATATACTGATAATGTAGTCGACATTTGGGCAAACTACAAAAATACCGGATTCCTCGCAAAGACATGGCCAAGAAAAATTAGATACACTAGCAGAAATATGGACAGCCAACAAAACATTAAGCGATCAGAGATATAAAAAAAAAAACAACGGAAACTCGTCGTCATAACCGCTCGGTGATTTTAATTTTTTTAAAAAGATTTTCCTTAAATAAAAGCTTGACGTGGAAACATTATACCCATATTAAGAATTATTTTAAGTACCGGCTCCAGGGCCATAAAACTGAGACGAGCTAACTTTTGGTCTAAATCTCACTTTTTCAAAAGGAATATATGGTGGAAAAGTGAGACTGAGATCAAAAGTGAGCTCGTCTCAGTTTTATGGCCCCGGAGCCAGGTCTGTGTAAAAATCATGCAAAGGGTGGTATATGAAGTTTAAAAGAATTTGATGATTTTCAACACATAGTTTTCTCTTATACTATGAACCGTGTATGCAAAATGAAAAAAAAATTTTGGTTCATGGTTACCATGGAAACATGGGTAAAGAAATTTCCCTAGCAACCGGCCAATTTTCAGCTTGGATGGAAAAAAAATCGTTTATATATCAGGCTCAAATTAAATTTCTTTTTTAATGTTTTTATTCTCAAGATAAATATCTTAAGCGTTTTCATAATTAAAAAATATAGAAATTAGATTAAAAGATGTCTGTGATAGATATGAGTATATATAGATGTTTTGTCTTTTTAGCTGACGCAGCATTTTCTTTGATTTTGGAATTATTCAATGTCTATTTTTTCTAATACAGACATCGTGTGTATATAACATTAAAGCAGAGGATTTTTTCTTTTAGAATTTGATTTAAGAAGCCTTTAATTTTTAAAAATTCCTATCCGCTGCCTAGCAAATTTTCTGGGGTGAAATTAACCCTTCGTACAGTGTTGTGAGAAAAAATATGGTCAAAACAATTAACTACAATGTGAAGTTCAAACAAGTGTTTTTTAAAACTGAAATACTGAATATTAAACAATGATAATTTTCTAGAGGGTCCAATTTTTTTCTCATTTCAATATACAGCTTAAATAACATTTAAAATTCATTCATTAATTAGAAGGCATTGTACAATGTATGGGACAACCGTAGTAAATCTAATGCCCTGTTCACACAGAGAGTTTAATTCGCAGTAAATCAATGCGAAGTAAAACGATGCAAATTAAACTAATGCAAATTAAATTGCTTTCACGCGACAGCTAATGCGAAGTAAACTAATGCGAATTATAATTTTATTTCTTCAAGGCTATTCAGTGAGGCTATTACGACGTCATTTACACATCACGTCATATTGTGCAAAGCAGACATACATTTAACATAATGTCATAGTGACTGTATACATTTTAGTGATTAACATAATTTTCTATTGTTTTCCACTCAAAAATAGCACAAGTACCTTTATTTGATCTTCGACATGTGGCCTGTGACTTATATCTGCCCTTACGCATGCGTCAAAATGTAATTCGAATAAGTTTCGCTTAGACGTTGCGCACGGTGTTGGTACACATTGACGTTACGTCAAAATAACGTTATTAAAGTCATAACGTTGTTACAACGTTTTAAACGTTAATTGCATATTTTAGTTGTTTAATGTGAATTCTATTTATTTATTTTTTTTAAAATCTAAATAAAATAACAGAGCACAAACTTTTCAATTTTTGAATCTTCGTTGAAAATATTAAGATGTACACTAAAAATATTTAATAAATTGTCAGATTTTTATTATGAAATTGTCACAGGCATACATATCCCCATTCATATCCTTGATTCCTCTTTCTATTTCTTTTTTCTCACTTTGTACGCTCAGTCTTGCAAAGAGAAAACACATCAAGTAGCTTTCTCTTTCAACCGTCTCTCCTTCATTTTTTTTTCCATTAGGTCATTTCAAGTTTTCTATTTCTATCAAACCCCGCATGCGCCTTGGTTTCTGACAATCAAGATCAGAGAAAAGCACAGAAAATCGGTTAATGCGCGGTTCCAGGAAATTTTGCGAGGGGGGGGGGGTTCCAACCAATTAAAAAAATATGACTCTAGAAGATTTTGACAGCAAAAAAATTATAACTGAAAATCCCAGGGGGGAGGGGGGTCCGGAACCCCCTTCCCGACCTCCCCCGCCTGCCTTTTTTATTGAAACCTTTTGAATTCTGTCATTTTCTTTCTATATTTTTCTAATATGTTTAATCAGATAATGTACCTAGCATTTACAACCTTGATTTTGCGAAGGAATATATTTTTCTACGATAGAGAAAATGTGTCTTTCTACGAGAAAAGTGGAATTATGAAATCAAAACATTTAAATGATCATGTACTTTTTATGACAACCGCTGTACAAAGTAGGATTTCCCCCATAACCAGCCCCCCCCCTCCCCGAAATCTATACTCAGGAATCTTACACTAGAGCTAATTTTCCCCTCTTTCTCTCTCAGAGTAGGTTTTCCCCTGTTTTATCAATGTTTAAATCATATCGACATTGCTAAAGTTTATATAAAAGTCGACTGATTTTTTAATAGAAATATGAGTGTTTTCGCTCAAAAATTTTTCAAAGGATCACTTCTAGTTAAATATATGGCCGATATTGGTTTCAATCTTTAGAAAAAGCTTATCGATATCCGTTCCGGTCCCTGACTTTAGGCCACATGCGTGTAGTTTCTTGTTTTTCATGTATCGTTTTAGTTCTAGTCAACTGTCTTCATATGATCCTATATCGGTATTTACAGAAACATCCTTTATAAGAGGGTCCTTACTTGATGCCTGGGTAATGGCAACGGGACATAAAACCTTAACTGACCTTACCACGTTCTTTTCTAATCTGTAAACCTTCCTCCTGCATTTTTGACATAACATGTCGCCAATGCACACAATTTTCCCGAGGAATGAACTGCATCTACTCTGCATAGCGCAGTATCTCTCCCAATGGCACAACAGTACTATTACACAGAGATGTTCTTGAAAGACAAACACAGCAATTTTTGCTCGGCATGATTTTTTTTTCGTGACACCTGCAGTATCGAGTAACACAAAGTGAATGATTCGTGTCCTCGAACAAAGTGTGCTTACACTGAGGTATAGTTCCGGTTGATTGCGTTTAGTTAAAGAGAATTTTTGATCTGCATTTCCATAAATGTCTTTTATATCAACAGCAAACATATACATTTAAGGAAGAAAATAGAAGTAAAATGAAAAAGCCTGTGTGAAAAATTAAATTCGGGTTTATGAACAGGTGAAAAATTTGAAAATATAAAAGTGTGCCAACAGGTGGATTCGAACCAGGACGCTAAAATTGTCCATGGTGAGAGTCTACGGACTGTCTCTCTGAGCTATACTGACTATGTGAACATACGTCTGACATAAATATAATCCAGTATGATAGAAATAGGTTTTCGCACTTTTTGTAGGTTTTTTACGAATTTCGACCCTAGGGCAGGGGCGCCCCTAAAAAATCTTGTTTTAAATCATTCTTCAGATCAAAATCTATCAAAATTTCATAATTTAAATTAGGGGTAGGCCTGCCCTGAAGGACTTCTATTCCAAAATTTACGCAAAAATTAGTGCTTTAACGGATAATATACTGTCTTAACCAACTTTGGAGGTTAATTTCAAAGTTGCATATAAAAAAATTAGGTTCAAAATGCAAATTTGAAAAATTTATACAAATATACGATAGAAAACAACTAAAGAACATTGATTTTTAAATGTGACTTTTTCAGGAAATTGTTCTCTCCTATAGGTCAAATCTTTTGTTATAACGAAAACATCCTTTAGTATGAAATTTTAGTAGTTAAAAAAATACAATACAAGAAGCATTGCTCTTGCAAGCCGTAGGATAGGTATGACTAGGTGAAACTTGGCGAGACACTTAATCAATATTATGCACATGTAGTTTTATGAAATATAACTGGAGAAAAAAATCCATTAAAAATAAAATTCCTCGTTTTTTTTTAAATTAAATGTTGACACAACTAGACTTTTTTATTACAATTTTTGTGAAGTTCCATTAAGATTGTCAACTGCGAGAGCACCTGTGAAAAAATTACAGAAAGTACATTTGTAACCATATGTCGCCCCTCCCCCCTCATATATAAGTACTGGAATGATATTTTATAGCAGAAGGGGTAAATTGGCTCTTGAAGGAATCACACTTTATAACTGTTACACAGAGTAGGGATTTCCCCGGAAAATTGAATGTGGTGTGGGATTTCTGATGAAGGGGAAATAATACTCAAGAGCCAGTTTTCCGAAAAAGACTTTAGAGGGGAAAGGCCGGTATAAAGTTCTTGTTTTAAGTTTGGGCTTTTGTACTGATACGTTTTTGTGAATCGGTAGATAGGTTCTAGAATTATAGGAGGTCGCTAAACTGAAAAAAAATAAATGGCCTTATACTGAATTAAACTTTTTTTTTCTTCAGCCCAAGTAGTTAAGCTCTCTTTATAAATCAGGGGGGGGGGG